CAAAATCACATAAAGTCGTATTATAACATCGACTGAGATAAAAAATAAAATGAAATATTAAAAACACGATGTATCTCGCTGCATTGCGCGAGTACTCTTCTAGTATATATATATATATATATATATATATTATTTGCGTCTAATTACTCAAACCAAACTTGATAAATCAAAAAAATCCTGTATTTTCAATTTTAAATCTTAAATTAAATCCTTTTAACACTTAACTATAACTCCTATATAACAAAAAAACAAATCGACCATTTTCAATAAATAAAACAAACTCCTCTCATCTCATGCAGACAAGTGTAATTTTTTGAAAAGTCTTAAATGCCCTTGTCTTATCATGTGTTTCTTATTCTTTGAAAAGACGTTACTTTATTTATTTTTTATCGACTCAATTATATTCGTGGTTTCTAGTGAACTTAATCTTTTTTTTTTTTTAAAAACAAGTCTACTTCTTAATGATTTTAAAACTTTTTAATTGGTTTTGTATCTTGAATCTTCTTTAATAATTAAAAGCCTTAATTTTATTGTACACAATTACCAAATAATTATATTTTATTTTACATTATATTATAAAAACTTTTTAATTATTTTAATCACTTAATCATTATGCATCAAACCATTTAATAATTCTAAAATAAAAATCCGATCAAAAGTGTGTAAAATAAAATAAAATGGAATAAAATATGTTGGTTAGTTGTGAGTCAAGACCAAAGCTGAGACTTCCTCTTACTTCGCCATATTCTTCTGTTCTTTCTCTGCCTATTTTCACCCATTCATCGTCTTCTGCATCTCATCGTCATCTCCATCTCCATCTCCGGTGATTCATCGTTCCCATCTCTTTCTTCCTTTTCTTTTTTACATCATCCTCTGTTTTGATCCAAGTAATTTCAATCTGTTGATCAAGGTTTCTGTTTCATCTCATCACTCCATCAGTAGTGATTTCAAGTTATCAGCCTTTTCAATCGTGGTTTCACCAACCAATACCATCATGAATGATTTAAACAATAACAGTAATAACAAACAATCAAATCATCTGCTTGATGATCTGGTGTCAAATTAGTTATTAACTTTCCTTTCATCTGCTATTCTTTGTTTCTTACTTGTCACCCTAGCTTCAATTCATTTGTTTTCAGCTATTCAAATCGATGTTTGGTGACGTTCATAACTCTCTCTCTGTATCGAATGATCCATTCATTCAACTTATTATCTGTTTCTGTTATAAATGATATGCCTGTTTGTTTTCAGCTCATCAAAAAATGGATATGCATGTCTCTGAATTTCATTCACAAATTGATAGCTTATAATTAATTAAGGCTTGTTTCTCTACAATAATTCTGTGATTTGTCTTGTGTTTTAATGAACCAGTATAATATATTACTATATATATGTTTACTCTTTGTTTCTCTTTGGCAGAAACTTTTGAAGGGGCATCATATTAACTGCAATTTGTTGCAGTAACACCAGCTAGGCAACATGGTAATTTCAGTTTCTTAATTTTGAGATGCTTAATTCTTCTTTTTTGTGTGTGATCCATTGATTTATTTAATTCAACTTAACAGGTGAAGTTCACAGCTGATGAGCTTCGCAGGATTATGGATTACAAGCACAATATTCGTAATATGTCTGTTATTGCTCATGTTGATCATGGTAACAAACTAAACAGTCATTTTTTTAGTTACACAATTGGTAAGTAAATAAGTTGTAATGACTACTGACTTGTTTGTTAATATGATTGAAAATATAGGTAAGTCCACCTTGACTGATTCTCTTGTGGCTGCTGCTGGTATTATTGCCCAAGAAGTTGCTGGTGATGTCCGTATGACAGATACCCGTGCTGATGAAGCAGAGCGTGGTATTACCATCAAGTCCACTGGTATCTCCCTTTACTATGAGATGACCGATGAAGCTCTCAAGAGCTTCAAGGGAGACCGTACTGGCAATGAGTACCTCATCAATCTTATTGATTCACCTGGCCATGTTGACTTCTCTTCGGAGGTTACTGCTGCTCTACGTATTACCGATGGTGCATTGGTTGTCGTTGATTGTATTGAAGGTGTTTGTGTCCAGACAGAAACCGTCCTCCGACAAGCCCTTGGAGAGAGGATCCGACCTGTCCTAACTGTCAACAAGATGGACAGATGTTTCCTTGAGCTTCAGGTCGATGGAGAAGAGGCCTACCAGACATTCCAGAGGGTTATTGAAAATGCTAATGTCATTATGGCCACATATGAAGACCCCCTTCTTGGTGATGTCATGGTTTACCCCGAGAAAGGTACTGTCGCTTTCTCTGCTGGCTTGCACGGCTGGGCTTTTACCCTCACAAACTTTGCCAAGATGTATGCATCCAAGTTTGGTGTGGACGAGTCCAAGATGATGGAAAGGCTCTGGGGAGAGAACTATTTTGACCCTAAAACTAAAAAGTGGACCAACAAGAACACGGGTGCTCCAACATGCAAGCGTGGTTTTGTTCAGTTCTGCTATGAGCCCATCAAACAGATTATCAGCATCTGTATGAATGACCAGAAAGATAAGCTGTGGCCTATGCTAGCCAAGCTTGGTGTTAACATGAAGTCTGATGAAAAGGAGTTGATGGGTAAGGCTTTGATGAAGCGTGTGATGCAGAACTGGCTACCTGCTGCCACTGCCCTACTTGAAATGATGATTTTTCATCTTCCTTCCCCTCACACTGCTCAGAGATATCGTGTTGAAAACTTGTATGAGGGTCCATTGGATGATCCTTATGCCAATGCCATCAGAAACTGTGACCGTGATGGCCCTCTCATGCTCTATGTATCAAAGATGATCCCTGCATCTGACAAAGGAAGGTTCTTTGCTTTTGGACGTGTGTTTTCTGGGAGGGTTTCCACTGGTATGAAGGTGAGGATCATGGGTCCTAACTATGTCCCTGGTGAGAAGAAGGATCTGTATGTGAAGGGTGTTCAGAGAACTGTCATCTGGATGGGGAAGAAGCAAGAAACCGTAGAGGATGTGCCTTGTGGAAATACAGTTGCTATGGTTGGTTTAGACCAGTTCATCACCAAGAATGCAACATTGACAAGCGAGAAAGAAGTTGATGCTCATCCAATTCGTGCCATGAAGTTCTCCGTCTCTCCTGTGGTGCGTGTTGCTGTCCAGTGTAAGGTTGCATCTGACCTTCCCAAGCTTGTTGAGGGTCTGAAGCGTCTAGCCAAGTCCGATCCTATGGTTGTTTGTACCATTGAGGAGTCTGGTGAACATATCATTGCTGGTGCTGGAGAGCTCCATCTTGAAATATGCTTGAAAGACTTGCAAGATGATTTCATGGGTGGTGCGGAGATTGTTGTTTCTGATCCAGTTGTGTCCTTCCGTGAAACWGTYCTTGAGAARTCATSYCGRACTGTRATGAGCAAGTCYCCYAACAAGCACAATCGTTTGTACATGGAAGCTAGRCCMATGGAGGAMGGACTTSCAGAGGCTATTGATGAKGGGMGRRTTGGKCCWMGGGAYGAKCCMAAGGYWCGTGSTAARATCTTGGCTGAGGAGTTTGGATGGGATAAGGATCTGGCAAAAAAGATATGGTGTTTCGGTCCTGAGACAACAGGGCCAAACATGGTTGTTGACATGTGTAAGGGAGTCCAGTACTTGAATGAAATAAAGGATTCMGTKGTTGCTGGGTTCCAGTGGGCATCAAAGGAAGGTGCATTGGCTGAAGAGAACATGAGGGGCATATGCTTTGAGGTGTGTGATGTGGTACTCCATGCGGATGCTATTCACAGGGGTGGCGGCCAAGTGATTCCGACTGCCAGGAGAGTTATCTATGCTTCACAGCTCACTGCCAAGCCCAGGCTCCTTGAGCCGGTGTACCTGGTGGAGATCCAGGCACCTGAACAGGCTCTTGGTGGAATATACAGTGTGCTGAATCAAAGGCGTGGACATGTGTTTGAGGAGATGCAGAGGCCTGGTACCCCACTCTACAACATTAAGGCTTACCTGCCTGTTGTCGAGTCCTTTGGATTTTCTGGTGCTCTGAGAGCAGCTACTTCAGGGCAAGCCTTCCCGCAATCTGTATTTGATCACTGGGACATGATGTCGTCTGATCCATTGGAACCTGGGTCTCAGGCAAACACACTTGTGGCCAACATCCGTAAGAGAAAAGGCTTGAAGGAGCAGCTCACACCACTCTCCGAGTTTGAGGACAAGCTGTAAGTTGGATGATTCAGAAATTAAAGAGTTATTGGGTGATAATAATAATTATTAAGTGAGAAATGAGAAGTATAAGTTAAGTTAGTCTCTTATATTCTTATGATGATCCTTTAGCAAGATGCTGCATGCATGCCTTAGTAGGTAACATATCTTTATTGCAACTTACAAAACTCAGATGTTTTATTTTCTATAGTTGTTTACTATCTCGTGTTTCTGTTATTTTACTTAAGGTTTCATTACGTTTTGTTTGTGTTGTACTTTCAAAGTGTGTAACAAGCTTGGATGCAATATCTTATCAGGCCCATTTAGATTTAGACCTGGCCCAATTGATCATTGGAACAATCAGAACCGTTACTGACATTTTATAGGCTCACAAACGTAAAAACAGGGCATACTACAAAAAACAAAGCTTTTAACAACGACTTTTGTCATCGCTAAAAGTCTATTTATCATCAGAAAGAGTATATAACAACAACATGTTGTCGCTATAACTTGTGACGGAAACATGTCATCGCTAAAAGGCGTATTGTCAAAGCTCACTTTTCTTGTAGTGACCCTCACGTAAGTACGGGAAAAAAATTCAATAAATGTTTTTCATTAGTATAAAATTGAGTACAAGAAATGCTAATAATTTACCGATGAAAGAAATATTATTTATCTTTATTATAGATGTATAAGAGAGTGCTTAAATTTACGTACTTCTTATTAGGTAATTTGAAACCTAGAGTATAGAAACTATGGTTGATAAATTTTTATAAAAAGTAAGAAATTTTTTAGTTCGTAACAAGAAATATGTGTTATTTTGATACAAAAAAAGAATTCGTGTGAATGAAGTAATCGTGAGGGTCAATGAGAGATCAATAATAAAGAAAATTATCAAGGTTTTCTAGACAAGTAGACAAATGAGAATCAATAAAAATATGAAAGAAAAGATGATTCGTTGAAATCCAATAAGAATAAATAATGAATTAAACATATAATATACAAGCTCAACAAATGATTGTTTGAGCACTTAAATAGAATATTGTAGTGTGGTGGAATCCCAACGAAAGATACATAAGTCAAACAATTGATGAAAATATTTAAATTATATTTTCCTTATATTTTTTCTCAACTAAAATAAGATGTTAAAATTAAAAGTTTATGGAACATGACATGTGTACGAGACATTACTAAATACATCTAGTAGAAGAAATTTATTGATTAATCACAAAACCATGAAACACATCATAAGTTATAAGAACAATAAATTGATTTTCAAACAATAATAATATATATTTTATGTAGAAGCTAAAATATATAATAATAATCAATAAAAACAATTAAAACAAGATAACCAAATAACAATAGTAAATATATATTGATAAAAAAAATATCCAACAGAACAGTCGAGCATTCAGTTTTGAACCCCTGGTAATTTTGGGCTGCGTTCGCCCGTGCCGCCTCCTCTGGCCCTGCAACGTATAAGGTGAGTTTCCCTTCATTTGAAGCCTGTTTTCTGGTTTTGATGGATCGGCTCTCTCCTCAAAGTAAGTTCCTAATCGCACTATTCGAAAAGGGGATATTGATTTGATTTTTGTATGTGATTCTCTTTCTTGTAAATTAATTATTGCAGCAGGGGATATACTTGTTGAATTTCTTCAAGTTGCCATTACATCAATCGTCTTCCTCAAAGGAATATACCCATCCGGTCTGCAATTTCTAATTTCTAATTTCTATTTAGCTAGGGTTTGTGTTATTGATGAATGATATATATAGGTGCTTTTGAAAGGCGGCAATATATGAATTTAGTGGTTCACAGGGCTCGACACCCACAGCTTAATCACTATATTCACAATACCCTCGATGCACTTCTTCCTTACATTCAACAGGTGCATCCTTCTCCTCCCTTTCATTTTCATCTTCTAATCTACTATTAGTATTTGGTCTTTTAGTAACAATATTCCTTTAATTTGATTGCTTATGTTTGTATATACATTCAACTGTATTTTGGTTCTGAGAACAATTCCATGCTTCATACATATATATATATATATATATATACACACATATATACATACATCAACTCTAATTTATGACTGCTATTGCTGATGTAACAAAACAGATCCCTCCTTTATAGTTTATCCTCAGTTTCATCTCCTATATATATGTTGATACTTAACAAAAATCTCATGCTATCAATTTGGGGTTGTTTGTTTACCTCTTAATAATCCCATTAAGAGACAATATCTGAATCGTTAAAAGGTGAATCTTGTTTGACAAAAAAAAAGTCTGCCTCTTGATGGTTCTAAAACCCTCCGAATGATTTTGTATCTTAGGTCTCTCTTAACCATTTAACGCCCTAATTTTGTTGTAAATAATTACCAAACAATTATATTTCATTTTGCACTATTTTAGGGGATGGTTGAGAGAGTTGCAGTCATTTTCTTTAACGGTGATAAAATTCCAATGGAGAGATTCATGTTCAAGATTAACGTGAAGAAGCAATGTTATGGGACAATGATGGACCTGGAGTCCTCCCTCAGATCATTCTTGATCAAGCTCTCTCTTTCTTCTTCTTCTTCTTCTTCTTCTAAGATGGCTGATGATTGTCAAGGTAAACACGTACACAATTAAGTCGGGCATATGTATATATATATATATATATATATATATATATATATATGGTGTTCTTAATTAATTAAGGTTAGATAGAGATTTTGGAACTGAATAGATAAAGGTGTATATATGTATGTATGCAGATTGGAGGTGGGAAATAACAGGTTACTTTGGTGGTATGATAAAAGATGCAAGTAGGTGGGTTCCGACGGGTACACAGCAGTGGCAACAACCTCCTCTTATAACACCCATCAAGTCCATGAATACGGATCCATTTTCCGTGCAGCTCTATTTGGAACATCCGAACAGTCCTTAATTTAACTGCATTTTAGCAGAGCTTTAATTGAAAGTGCATAAATGTATTATCAATATATTAAGTGATCATGGGTTTAGATCTCTTTTTACACCTTAATTTCTATTGTCACTACGATCCTTGTTGTTAATGTGATACAGATAATGACATATTTATATTTACAAAATGAATATTACTTGTTAATTAATTAAGACATACAGTTTGTCCAAAAAATCTATCAAGAAATTAATAGATCATTTGTTCAACCACGACATCCTAACATTTGACATATTACATCAAAACTTGTATGTATTTTTAATTTTGTTTATGTATTTTTTTTGTATTTACTGTACATGTACCTAAACAATTTTACGAATAGAGAAATTACAAAATACAAGAAAATACATATTCTTTTCGAAAATGTTCTCGACAAACACATTATTCATCGATAATCCATTAAAAATCTCAAAAACGGATTTTCAACTGAGGGTGTTTGGGTAAAAGCTTATTTAAAACAACTTATACTTTTTTGTAAAAGTGCTTATTAACTTATGCGGTATCAAACTGGAGTTTTGTAAAAAGTGTTTGGATTAGCTTATAGCGGTACCAAAATGCAAAATGACCAAAAAGGACAGCTCATATTTGAAACCCTGGAATCGTTGAAGAAAAAGGGTTCATATTTGAAACCCTAGAATCGTTGGAAGTTGGT